TGGTGATCTAGATAAAACAATCCTAATGAGGCAACTTGAAGGCTATGTAGAAATAGGAAAGGAAGATTTTGTGTACAAGTTGAATAGTTCGTTATATGTCCTGAGACAATTTCCTCGGCAATGGAATTGGAGATTCGACAAGTTTTGACACACATGGGTTTCACTAGGACCCAGTTTGACTATTATGTTTACTTTAGATTTCAACCTAAAAGCTCACTTTTTATTTTGTTGCTTTATGTGGATGACATCCTCATAGAAAGTAACAGTATCGAGAATGTAAATAAGCTGAATATTGAACTCGATAAGAAGTTCGACATGAAGGATATGGGAGATGCCAACAGGATTCTTAGGATTGACATCTAAAGAGATGGAAAGCAGTTAATATTATGTTTACCGCAAGAGACATACCTAAATAAGATTCTCGAAAAATTTGATATGTTGAATTCAAAGTCTGTTGTAACATCGATGAATCCTTAATTCAAGTTGAATACGACTCAAAGTCCTAGTACTGAAGTCGAAAGAGCTTATATGAATAACATTATGTATGCTAGTATATTAGGTCCTTTGATGTATGATATGATATGTACAAGACCAGACATAGCGTACGGAGTGAGCCTTGTAAGCTGGTATATGGTCAATCCTAGAAAGGCATACTATAAGCTCTGAAGTGGATTCTGAGATACGTAAAAGGATCCCTGAGTAGGGTCCTGATTTATGGCAGAGATGTGAGTGATGGTGAAGTCGAAGTCGTAAGATTTGTCGACTCTGACTATGCAGGATGTATGGATACCAGAAAAATCTCTTTCTGTAAATGTTTTCACTATGTTTGATACAACAATTGGAAAACTTCTCTTCAAAAGGTTATTACCTTATCAACCATTGAAGTTGAATATGTTGCCCTCACTAAAGTTGTGAAAGAAGCATTGTGGCTTGAAGGATTTTTCAAGGAATTGAAACTTCAAGGTCGATTTATCACTGTTAAATGTGACAGTTAAAGTGTCGTACATATGTCGAAGAATTCATCTTATCATGAGAGAACGAAGCACATTGATATTAGGTTGCATTTCATCAGGGAGAAAATCGAAAGTGGAGAAGTCAAAGTGATGAAGGTTTTGACATATTACAATGCTGCAGATATGATCACCAAGTCATTGTCAAGTAACAAGTTCTTCCACTGTATGCAGTTGATAAAGTTGCATGTTGAAAGCTAGTTTTGTAGAGTTTATTCCAAGGGTTAGATTTTTAGTATTTTTGGATCAAACTCTAGTCTCAACAAGGATAACTTTATGATTTGGCAGGGTTATACATGTTGTAGTCAAAGTCTGCTCAAACATGCAGGAGTAAAAAATGTGCATGTTTTAGTTGAAATTTGTTCAAGCATGCATGAGTCGAAGATATGCACGATGTAGTCGAAACATGTTTTAACATGCAGTTGTGTAAGTTAGCTTGTTGGTTAAGTTAGCTTAGTGCTTAAGTTAGCTTAGTGTTTAAGTTAACTTATAGTCTATTTGCTTGGTTGATATCTCAGGTTGCTCTCTCAGGTTGTTGAGAGATGGTTGAGAATTACGCGTTGGTTGGTTGATATTTGCTTGTAAACAATTTGCTCTAAGAGAAATGATATCTTTACACCCCATATTACACTTGCACTGTATAGTTTTAATATTTTATCATTAATTTCTCTCTCTTATTTTTAAAATTCTAAATGTTTATTAACTAACTTCAACATTTCATTAATCAACTTTTTACATTACATTAATCAATTTTGTTTCCTACTTAAAATTACTGTTCATGTACCGTTCATTAATCATATACTAAACTGTATTTACCAACTTGATATACACTATTAACCAACTTTAATTACTGTTAAGTGATTACATACATTTACCCATGATTATTCATTAACAATATTTTCAAATGTATTAACCAACTTTTCTCACACTTTTAACCAAATTTATTTACTATTAATTGATTTTATATATTTTTCATAATTATTTATTAACCATTTTTTGATAGGATGAAAAAGATAAAATAAAGTGGAATAAATAAAAAGGGTGAAAGAAATATATAAATTACAAGAGAGAGAAGTATACGAAATGTTGGGCTCACAATGCATAATATAATAAAGAGTAAAAAAAAGTGGCTTGAATATTAAATTAATTCTTTTAGTAATAATGAATAGTATGTATACAGTGTAGTGTATATAATGTGTCAAAATAGGAAACTTGTTTGTTCTAATTGTGAAAGTAAATATTAAAATGAATTTAACAAATTCTTTTTCTTGTTCTTCATCACTCTTCTCACTTTTCGTAAATCTAAAATGAGTTTTTTTATTTGTTCATAAAAATTAATCTTTCTCATAATTTTATTCATTTTAAGTGACATTTGTCACAATAAATTCTATTATAAAGTATATCTATGGTAATTAAGGTTCGAACATATATTATTAAAAAAATTAGTTAAACTAATTAAACAAGGTTCTATGAGAATAAACTAGAATTTTGTGATAAATTTATACTAGAAAACAACATATGGTAAAATTTTGGGGTGTCACGCGTAATTCTACTAATCTTTTAAGTACATTTATTCAGATCTTTGAAGTTCAGAAATAGTAACTACTCATAGAAAAAACTTGGTGAAAAATACCAAACTTCTCTTGTTTGGTTTGAAAAAAAAATAAAGATACAAATAAAAATGAATATATTGCAGTCTAGTACACTTTTCTTATATTCTCTAAATTGTGAAGAAAAAAAAGAAAGAAATATTTCCTGAACTACCCTTATCATTTTGTTGGGCACAAAGCTTCACTTTTAACTTTTCTTTTATTTATTTAACTTTTTTTACATAAACTTTGTGTTTTATTTTACAATTCTACTTCAGAGTTTTATAGAATTGTTGTCACAAAGCTTCACTTTTCATTTCTTACTATAAAATGTGAAGGACAGTTTTATAAACTTTGACGTTTTTTATTTTACAATTCTAAGTTTCAGTTTTACGTTTTTCTTATAAACTGTATTTTATTTTACAATTCCACTTTTAAAAATAATAAATAAACTAATTAATTATTAATTTTTACAATACTATTATTTTGTTTATATTATCTTGTTTTTGTTCAGATTTTAAAATGGATAAGTTATAGGAGGAAAGATAAATCACTAAAAATATATTTTAATTTTAATATTTTTTTTTTAAATTCGATAGTTCTTATTCATTCTCATATTTTCGTATAACTTACTCATTCTTATTTTATATATATATATATATATATATATATATATATATATATATATATATATATATATATATATATATATATATATATATATATATATATATATATATATATATATATATATATATATATATATATATATATATATATATATATATATATATATATATTCTATTAAAACTATGCAGTAAAAATAATTAATTAATTTAATTTAAATTAAAAAATATATTTAATTTTATTCAAAATGTTTATTAACGAAGGACATGATAGTAACTTTCTTTTAAATGGGAAATATTTCTCTTTTTTATTTCTTTTCTTCTTTCTTTATCTTAAACCAATTAATATCTTAAATGTACTGTATTTGCTATTTATCTTTTTTCCTTACACCCTCTTATGTATTTTCTTTTTTCACAATTTCTCCTCTAAATCAAACAACACACCCTTAAAAATTTCTTGTGAATGAAATGGAAAGAGACAATATTAAAAATTAAAAATTGATTTTAAAGACTATGATAGGCTAATTTTATTTTAAAAGTTAACTCCTGGAACAACATATTTATAGGGATTTATATTTTTTTTATCTTCATTCCTTTCATTCATCTCTATATCTCTCCAAATTTTCTCTCTTTTATTTTAAAATATTTTTACTTTAGGGAGAGAATGAAAATTTAAAAAAAATTAGAGATAAAGATGAAAATAGGTCAAACCGATAATAGAGACTTCCAAGTCTAGTCTACACAGATTCAGATTAGACTAAATATTCTTTTAAATAAAATTTAGATTCTTTTATAAATCTATTTAGTTAAAAAAATTAAGTCTCAGACCATAAATATAAATATTTTTTTATATCATAATATTATGTTTCGTATTTTAAATTAAAATTTATAATAAAAATTGGTTATTTTTTAGAACTAAAATTAGTGAAAGTCTCTTATGAATAAGATTATAAATTAGAACTTATATTAATAAGTAAGTTAAACTAAGTCAATATAAACAAATTTTTAATTTTATTAATTTTTTAATTTGTTAGTCTATTTAAAATAATAAATTTTTATGTAGGTTAACATATTAATCAGATTTTAAAAAATATCAAATTCAGATCTAAAAATAAACTTATGACAAATTATAGATTAGACTTATGCTTCAATTTGCAAAGTCTATTTTGGTCTAGTCTATTTCCACTCTTAATTAGTGAGAAAGAAGAAAAAAAATTGAGAGAAAAATAAAAGAAAATAATAAACTATATTCATAGTGGATTTTAGAATAACTCCCTTGGATCCATTATTCTTCTTAGATTTATAGATTTATAGTGTGACCGTTGATGATTGTCCAACAAACATGAATCAAAATGAGTAAACAAAAATCAATGTATATGTTATTCTTCTTCCTTTATCTTATGCTCTAGTTATTATGTGACTTGTTCTTGGTTGTCATTATTATTTTTCCTACTATTTTATTCTTGTTGGTTTGAACAAGTTTTCAAATATCAATTTATAATTTATAGTTCTGTTTGACTAAGTAAACTAGTATGTATGGACTAGTATTATTGATGTGACTTTTCACAAAATAACAGTAGGTAGGTCATGACATGTGTGTTTGAATTTTGTTTGTTGCAATCTTATTATCTCACTTAATCTATGTAAAATATATTTTTTATTAAAAATGTTTTTCTTTTAGTTTTCTCTTATAAATATGTTTTTCTTTTATTTTATCATTGTAAAATAAAAAATAAAAAAAAAAATACTATTTCTAGCATATTTAATATTATTACCTGTGGTTACTCTCTTTTTCTGACCACCAGATATGCCTCTTTGCATTTCATCACCCACAATAGTATCTTTGCATATATCAAGCCCCAATATCTGTTTCACACAATAAACAAATTTTTATAACATTAATAATTAAATAATAATTAAATGTTAAGGCCAGCCAAAAAATAATAATTTAAGTCAAACTATAGATAATCCAGAATTTTCTAGCTGGGCCCACTTTAACCCTCCCATGTAACCTATAGTGATTGGATCAAGTGGTGCTACTTGTACTATTTTCTCTTGAATACGTTTAATTAAATTATTATTTTTAATTAAAAAATATGATATTTTATTTTATAATATAAAAAAATAGCTTAGTCTTGATTCCTCAAAACGTGGTTTGGACTTTTAAAAGAAGTAGAGAATGATGTTGAAACCTAATGAAATTCTTTTCAATGTTAGAAAAGTATTACTTACTTTGAGAGTATAGTCAGTAATAAGACTACTTTCTGTTCCTTCCATTGCAGTAGCCTACAAATTCCATAATCATAATTATTGATTGTTGATTATTATAATCTTTAAGATTATCTAAAATAATTATTCATATTCATACTTTCATGAAAAGGTCTAATTCTGCCTCTGGAAATATGCCTGCATCTTTTTCCCTTCTGGCAAGTTCAGATAATAGATCTGCATCAACATTTTTTTGAGTTAAAAGTGTGACATGTATATATTCGTATCCGTGTCTGTATCCATTTACGTATATAATATTTCACTTGAGAGTATATTAAGAATCGATCAATTTAATACCATATCGCGTCCCAACTCCTTGACATCTAGCCGAAAAATCCATTGTTTCTTTTACGGTCATTTCTCCCAAATGAACATCATTTTGGCTAATATAAGCTGAAGTTTTTCTAGGGACAAATTCATTAAGTTTGTAACCATTGTAAGAGATTTCTCCCTCCACCTGTTTCGTACAAATCAAATATAACACATATGAATCACTATATATACCAACACTAAATACGATATGTGTCTGACATGTGTTTGTGTTAGACATAACTTCATTACGAAGAATTCGTGCTATGAAGTTAGTAATTCTTAATTACCCTCAAGTCAGTGTCTAATTTTCCAGCCAAAGCTAGCAAAAGGGTGGTTTTCCCTGATGAAGGGGGACCTAGTAAAAGGGTCATTCTGCAAAGAAATAAATTTATCAATAAAAAGTTTGAATGGTGAATATTTTTGTAAGTTAGTTCCAAAATAACGTACCTGGAAGGTTTAATAATGCCAGAGACATTTTTAAGAATAGTGAGTTTTGTTGTCTTTGTAGCACTAATACCAAAAATGCGAAGAGATGATTCAAGCATGTTTAATGCAACATTTGGTAAAGTTGGCAGAGCTCTGCTTCCAACATAAGAATCAGCTTCAATACTCAGATTTTCAAACCTCACTTCTACTGTTGGGAGCTTGATGCCAACCCTGCAATAATTGATACCAACTTTTCATCATTTTAATTTTTTTTATTAATTTCTTAGTCATTCAATTAAGCGATTTAATTAATTAAATAATAGTAATCCAAAAATTTTAATCTTTTCATTTGAGTGTAATTAACTTTGTACACTATAAAAATATGTATAATTTTATAAAACTGTTCTTAATTATTAATATAAAAGACCTAAATAAAAAAAATTAGAAAAAAAATTAAGAGTAATAAATACTAATACATAATAAAAAAATATCATAAAAATAAAAATTTAAAAATTGAACTTGTCCTATGTGAGTACATGGTTATCCTCGTTAATATTAAATTTTCTTTTTCTTTATAAACAAAATAATAATAACTAATAAAATTTAAATATACAATTGCGATGATATTGTTCAATCTAATAATATCGATTTCGATTAACTTGAAATAAGAAATGGATACACATCAATTGAAATTTGTTTTCAATATGATGTTTGTTTACAAGGATATATACAAAAAGCAGATAATCAATTAGTATAAGAAACAAAATAGTCAATTCTTGAACATATTATAATTCAATATTCAATATCATAATCAGATACCAAGTCTCTTGCCGGCCCAAAAGTCAAATGTGTGCAGAAATTATTCTTCACTTTTTAAACAAATCTAAAACAAAATTATATCACAAGAAACCAAGCAATTATTTTTTTAATTAAAAAAATAATTTTTTTATAAATAAAAAGATAGAATAATTCAACATAAAAATTATTAATATGTGAGAAAGTAATCTAAAAATAATAAAAGAGAAGTTGATAAGAAAGAAAAACTGACTTGTCAATTCTGTTTCTGAATTTCTGCAAATACTTTTGATTATCTTCTTCAGCAACCTTAAAGATTTTATCAATAAACTGTTGTCTTTCATTCCCATCCAACTTCCTAACATCAACTTCCCTATGTTGCACTTTGTTTGGATGATCTTCAGCATCACCAAGATATTCTTCAGCATAAGTTTGAAGAATACTTGTCCTCAACCTATCATAAGTAGGTAATTTCTCTATTGCAGCCCATTTAAGTGCTTCTTCATCTTCATCAACATTAGAAGTTCTTCTTGAATATCTTCCACTAGTAAACACTCCCTCCATTCTCCAACTTGACCTACTCAAACTCCTACTTATGCTTCTACTTAAATTCCCATCCATTTTTTCCAACTATGTCAAGCTTTTGCCTTAAGCTTTCAAAACATGTAAATATATAAATGAAAGGAGATGAAGGATCAAAGTGCAATTATGTAAATATACTTACTTGAGTTTTAAGGAGTTTCTTTTTTGGATTAAGAGAAGAAGCCACCTAACGTAAAACTCTTTGTCTTGATAAAGAAAGGTTTGAAACTAGAAGGTTATGTATGGCTTCTAACATTTTTCATGTGTTTTCATTTTTTTTTCCTTCTCTTTTTGTGTTTTTCACTAATGAATGAAAGTTTGAAAATGGTAGAAGTTTTGTTCTATATAGGAAGAAAAGGTTATAAATATTATTTATATTTAGTATGATGTATAAGAAAATGACATACGGTGTGATAATATGACGTGGCTGCAGCATTGTCGTAACTCTTATATATATAAACATTCTCTTTAAGGTGACTTTTTTTGTAATAGAATCTTTTAAAGAAAATACATCTTATTGTAATTTTTTATTTATATAAATGAGCTGTAAGTTGTAAAAAAAATTTTATTTATATAAATATTTTTTTATAATTAAACAGTCATTCTCTTTAAGGTGGCTTGAGTCGGTACATCATACATGTTTTTTTTATAAGCAATATCATTCATTCAAATAAAAAAAAAGTAAGTTGTAATTCAACCATAAAAAATTTACAAAATTGATGCACAGACTATGAAAAAAAGTATCTCAATATAATGTCAAACATCCTTTACAACAGGATATTTTGTCCATTCATAAAAGGTACAAGAACTTCTCTTAGAATTGATATCAATTGTTAACCATAACTGATCTGACCTGATCAGAAGGGGATCACGGGCTGGCCACACGCTGTTGGGCTACTACCTGTTCACCGGTGATGATGATGAGGAGGGGGGTGTACCTGTAAGACACTCTGATGCCAAAGTAAGGAATTGGGCAGAGTGAAGGCAAAGTACAGAAAAAGGGTAAGAAGTGAACTACCTGACTCTTTTGTGGAAGAGGGTATTTATAGAGAGACCTCAGCGTTGGGCCAACGGTCACTTGTGTTGGGCTGGATTGCCAGGCTCAACCCAGGTGACTGCTAGGGCTTACGTGGCGTAGTGAAGACCAGGACGTGGTCTTCGCCCTAGTCCAACTGTCCCTTGATCTCCGGAAAGTGGGTTTGACCTGCTCTTTCGGAGGTGGGCAGTTGGTCGGTGACGTGTCCCTGCGGAGGGGAGCACGTGGAGACGTGTGAAGGACACGTTGTCCTGCCCGACAAAAGGGCGGGTTCTGCCCGCGGGGGGCAGGTCTTGTCCTCGGATGGTAGAGTTTGCCGAGCGGGGAGTCTCCAACCCGTCGTAGTTGGGGTAGGCCTTCCTCACAGGGAGACCTTTCTGGCTCGTCGGGGACCTCGTGCTCGACGCGGTACTCGGACTGGATAGGGCCTGGTGGAACATTATTGGACTGGGCCCGCGTGGTAAGGCCGGGGCCCAGGCCAGAACAAGAGCCCCCTAAGTCGTTGCTCCGAGGGAGGGAGCGAGGACTTGATGACGTCGTTCCGGGGAAGTGGACTGGCCCGGGGGAAGATCCTTCAGCGCGAGCACGCGTGTTCTCCGTTGTCGATTGTCCGGGCTTGAAGACGGGTATTGGCGAGGAGAGGTGAAGGGACGCGTTTGTCTACTTCCGCCACGTGTCGTGCGCTGGGTGGCTGCTAGGGCGGCTACCCTAGGGTACTCAAGTGTCTAGCGACGCTTCGAGTCCCGTGCAGGGGTATAAGTAAGTGAGCCCCTGCTCATTTCTCACTTTTCGCCCTCTTGCTCTTAAGTTTCTTGTCTGTTGTCCCGCCGCCGTCTGATATCTCCGCCGTCACAGTCGTCGCGTTCTCCTTCGTAGATTTCATCGCAGTAAGTTTCATTTCTCTTTTCTTATGTTCTTATTGTTTGTTTTATGACCGTGGTCGGGGCCGTTTGAATGCCCCGAGGAGAGGCGAAGATCTCCGCCGTTCTAGGGTTTTTTTTAGGGTTTTTATTATGAATGTCCCGGGGAGAGACGTTAGTTCCGATGAGTGTCCCGGGGAGGGAAGCTTTTTCCGATGAATGCCCCAGGGAGAGATTCTTTACTCCGATGAACGTCCCGGGGAGCGACGTCTATTCTGACGGACGCCTCCGAGGAGGGTTTGCAGTTCGGGTCATACTGATAACCGGGGAGGTGGTAGGTTAAGGCAGATCCACGGGCCCGATGCTCGGGGAGTCCTCGTCGCCCTTTCACTTGACTTGCGGTGGAAGGGTGAATTTGATCTCTGTCATCGAATTCACCATTACCTTCTGCTTTTCAAGTGTTAATGAATACGTTCGTCTTGGCCATAATGGTCGAGGATAATGAGCCGAACGTCCCCTATTTTGATGAGCGCGTCGTTCCGATCGGAGACTGGGTGGCCGAGGAGCCTCTCACCATGCCCTCCTGCTTTGCTTCTGATCCGACAGGGGCCTATGCCACCGTGGAGGACCGGGAAGAGGGGGATCCTCAAAACTGGCAAGTCTACCGTCCCCGGCCAGGCCATCGAATCTACTCGAAATACAGGCGAATGCGCTTTCCGATGTATGAGTTTTACTTAAAAGAGGCTAGGCTCAGGTTGCCCTTTTCAGACTTCCATCTGGGCCTCTTCGACTGGCTGAGGTTGGACCCGTCGCAGCTGCACCCTAACGCCCTGGCTTTTATTCGAGCCTTCGAGCTCGTGTGCCAATATCTCCTGGTCGGCGCCACGCTGCCGCTGTTCTTTCGTATTTTCCATCTGCAACGGCAGTCGGTGAGTGGTCGACATGGCTGGGTGTCGTTCAAGCAGTCAGACAGGCTTTTCAGAACGTATATGGATTCTGTCTGAGATTTCAAAGGTCGTTTTTTCGTGGTCAGCCCGATCACGCACGAAGGGGTTCGTTCTTTATATTCGGAGGGGGAGAGGATAATGGATGGTCGTCGCGAGGCCATCATGCTGTCCCGGGTGCACGTGGAGTGGTCCCTAGAACATTATTCTCGGGGAACAGGTCGGTATATCGTACGGGCGGGGTCGCTCGATGACGAGGACATGGCTAGCTATCTGAAGATAGTTTCCTTCGTGCGCAATTTACCGCCGTCGAAGCTGGTCACCCCCGATGGTCGGTATATCCTCGACGGTTACGGAAACATTCGCGAGACGGCGAGACTGATCAACACAAAGGCCCTGCTCGAGTGTGCCTCGGAGGAGGATGCCCTGCGCTACCTAGGTGGTGGACGCCTCGTCCTTTTTCGACCTGATATCCTTAGCTTTTTATTGACCAATTTTCCTTTTGTCGTGCAGGGAATATGGCTTCTGTCGAGGAGCGAGTGAAGAAGTTGCGTGCATCAAGGGCTGCCGTTCCTCCGAAGACTCGGGTGGCTCAGTTGGTCGGGCAGTCTTCCGCGGAACAGGATGGGAGGGGGTCGTCGGCGTCCCCGACCGGTAGCCAGTCGCCTACTTCTCAAGGGGCCCCGAAGAGAGCGAGAGTTCAGGAGGATATGCCTGTGGTCGACTTATCGGTGGAGTCTTCCGAGGAGAGTTATGATATCGCTCCTTGTCACCAGCACCCCGGATATTTCCACGGGGCTAGGTCGCCCAGCATTCCTGCGGGGGAGGTGAAGGCGATTTTGGGTGCCGACCGTGCTACGAGGAGGCAGTTTCTGACCGAGGACTTGGCCGTGTTGATGCAGACTTTCACTACAGCAATGGTCTTGAGCGAAGAGAGCTGCTCAGCCGTCGAGCTGTCAAAGCTGCAAGGGGATCTCGCTTTCGCGCAGTCCATCTGAATAAGGTAATCGAGGATTTGGAGGCGAGTCGAGGGAAGGTGACACGGCTGACTGAAGAGTTGGAGAAGACTCGCGGGAAGGTTGACCTCGAGCGCAAGAGGTGCAACGGCATCGAGGAGAAGCTGAGGGCAACTGAGGAGGAATTGCGGGCGTCGAAAGCTTGTGTGGTGGAGCTCGAAGGCGATCTCTTTCCTGGTGATGACGAGACTGATGACGACAAGTTACTAGTTACCCGGGCGGACCTGCTTGCCAGGATACATGTGTTGGAAGGGGATTTCCTAGATGGTTTTGCCGCGGGTTTCAACAACACCGTTGCGCAACTCAGGGTGGTGAACTCTGGTGTCGCCTTCGTCAAGGATGGGATCGGACCCTTCCACGAGATAGTCGACGGCCGGGTGGTCGACCCCAGCGCCGAGGAGGCTGGCACCGTCGTCCCTGTCGTCGAGCCTGAAGCTGATGGAGAGGAGGGGGCATAGACTAGCCCCGGGTCTGCGTTCCCGTGTATTTCGGCCTGCGTGCCATATTTTGTATTTTGTTGTTTTTTCTGTCGGGCTTGCGCGCCCTTGTTTATGTAATATTAACTACTGGGCTGGTGCCCGCTTTTGATTAATATATTTTGAGAATTGTCTAAGTGTGCGCCTCGTTTTTGCATGTTGTTTATGCTAGTTTTATTTTTGCACGTACTTGTATGCTTGAAATGTATGTATGTTTGAAATTCATGTTTAGTATGACTTTGGGCCTATCTGGGGTGGTAGCTCGACGACGATTGTTTTCGGCGGTGTGGGGAACTGGACGGCTGGTCGGCTTTGTTGCCTGACCGGTTCGGGGGTAGTTCTCCCGGTGGCGTGAACGTCCCATCGTGAGCTGGGTGTCCTGCCGTTGGTACGGCGGTGGGGAATCTCGATCGAGGTGTTCCCCGTCGAGCAAGGCCTTCTGCCCGCGCACACATGAGGCAGGGCTTGCTTTTTCTCTGGTCGTTAGTAGACGCGAGGAGGTGCGGTGGTACCATGTCGCCCCCCCCCCCAATGGTCGCGACGATGGGTCGTCGCGGGCAGTGTTTAACTGTAGTACCGCTTAAGTTTCTCGGCATTCCATGGTCGAGCTAGTTGTTCCCCGTGCAGGTTTTCGAGGTAGTAGGCTTCGTGCTCCGTTTTGTCGCGGACACGGTAGGGACCTTCCCAATTCGCAGCTAGTTTGCCCT